CTGCACCCTCCCACCACCATGAGTACACTCCACTGTGCAACCTTAATTCTTACTTCTAACTAAGTTCAACAGCTATTCTTAATGTTGTGGCAGGGTAATATAAATTACCTTGATTTGTTGTTCTGTCACCATATACTCTCAAAAACCCTCACTCATTGCCCTTGAATTGGAACCAACTCATAGCCGACTCTCCAGAGGCCTCTTTCTTCCTATGGACAAGTTGGTGGGTTCAGGTCCCCAAATACTGGGATTGACAGCAACTCCTTACTCACTAGGTTGGACTACCTTGAAATACTTCATGTGAATGTTTTATGTGAATATTTTTGGTTCAGCCAATAAACAGATGTATTAATATCAAAACCCAAATCTTTGTTTTAATTTTATAAAGGCTGAAGAAATCACTTTAACAATTGGTCAAGCATTCGACCTGGCATACAGGAAATTTCTAGAATCTGGAGGAAAAGATGTTGAAACAAGAAAACAGATTGCAGGGTTACAGAAAAGAGTGAGTACACTAAAGTTGTTATTTCCTATTTATGTGATCTAAGTTCAGGGTAAGCTTGCATATCATCAGACATTTGGAAGGCCTGCCATTAAATTTCCCTCCACACTGATTGGAACTGCTTTCACTGTGGTCCTATAATTTTTCATTCCTGATCCCCTGCACAGTTTTTAACCATTTTATATTGAATTCCCACAAGAACTTAGTGTTCTCATGTGACTTTGCTTCACTTCCTGATGCTTCTCATGGGGATCAGAGCAGCAGAAGCAGCAGATGCTGGGTAAGTGGTTTCCCATGCAGATCGGATTCCTTTGTAATTAAATTACACCCTGTCTCCACTCTCTTCAAAATCATCATAAGCAAGCCTCACTGTCTTGCGGTTATACCCTAAGATTATGGGTATAGATTGCACAGTGCAAAAAACATAACCAAGAAATACAAAGTTGAGGCATAGGAACATAAAATTTGCACACACATAAAATGTGCATATAGTTTAATTTAATAATATACATTTCCAGTGGCCTAAAATTGTCCAATATTTTCCAAGTTTTATTAAAAAAAAAAACCCCAACTCTCAAAATGATCAAGTTTTCCCCTGTGCATGATAGAGTATCTATGTATTTTAAGTAGTAACATGAAATTCTGCTTATTAGTGTAGACAAAATTGTGGCCAATATTATGCAAGAATTAATTTCTGAATGTCACTTATTAATAATTTGATTTTTAGATCCAAGACTTAGAAACAGAAAATACAGAACTCAAAAACAAAGTACAAGATTTGGAAAACCAGTTAAGAGTCACTCAAGTTTCAACAACTCCAGTAAGTATTTATGGATATTTTTGTATCCCTGACTTCGCAATACTTCAAATAAAAATCCACAAATTGTCATTAATGATTGATAGAAAAAAATGGGTGATAAACAAGTTAATAAAAGATAAAAGTACATAGGTAGTTCACACCAGAGACTTTCCACTTTACTGCTTCACTTTTGTTTTCTAAAAGAATTCAGTCCTCAGTTTGGTTAATAAATATTTATATGTAAAAAAAAATATTTATATGTGGCATAGTCTTTCTTTTAGTCCAATTGATTACTATTTAAGATTAGATTTAGTGACCTATGCTTACTATAGCCTGAAATCTGAAATAGTGAACTTCAGTATAGGAAGTGGGCTGTAATAGACCAGATATGGATTTATTATTTTATAAAACAGGATTTCTTATGGAAAATTACACAATTATATTTCAGGCACGCATAGCATTCAGATACTTATAGATAAATTCCTTTTTTTGTTACTATAATTTTAAAATTATTTGCTAGTATTATAAGCAGTGCTGTAGTACTCTGTTCTGACTTGGAATTTTTCTACCTTTTTTTGAGGAGAGGGTAAGATTTAAAACAATAGGGGTTTTTAAGACAAAATATATTTAGAATCTCTTTTTTTTAAAAAAAATTTATTGGTCTTCATATAATAGTTCCTTTATGTTTCATCCATATACATTGGGTGTTGATTTTTTTTTATTATACTCGTTTATTTACAAAATTTTAATACATTGTTTTCCAGAAGAGATTCTTCTAATTTCCCTCATCTCCCATCCATCAAATTGTACAACTACATGATTAATCTCCTCCTCCCCCTTCAAACTCGTGCAGTATTGGTTTTATACAGTATTTGTCCTTGTGGGACTGAGTTAGTTCACTCAGCAAAATGCTCTCCAATCCCTCCCAAGTTAGGTAATAATTTACAAAATCATTGCTCCTGTGTGCTGCATACAATTCCATTGTGTGAATGTACCATAATTTCTCAGTCCATTTTTTTGTGGTTGGACATTTGTGCTGTTTCCATGTTCTTGTGATGGTGAATAATGCTGCTGTGAACATTGGTGTACAAGTCTCTATTTGGGCCTCAGTTCTCATTTTCTGTTTGAATAATTTTTGTTACTGATATTCTCCATGTACATTAGAATACTATTTTTGGTTTGAGTACCATCAAGTGGGAACCAATCCATAGCTGATCCTCCATTGATTTTCAGAGGCAATGAACCACATGCAAGGCAATTGCCCATCCATCTCCTGTGAAGCAACTGGTGGATTCAAACTGCATGACTTTGGGATTTCAGTGCAGCTACTTATCACTAAGCCATCAGGGCTCTCAGTATATTAGAATATGCATCTTAAAAATAGTTCATGTTTAACTTAAAGCATAATATTAAAGAGCTTGAGTGAAGCAGTGGTTAAAACATTAGACTGCTAGTCAAAATAGCAGTAGTTGAAGCCTATTGGTCACTCCACAGATGATGTGGCAATTTGCCTCTGTGAAGATTGTAACTTGTCCTGTATAATCACTTAGATAGCTATATGTAGCATAGTGAGCATGATACTATGAACTGAAACACAGTTTTGATATTATCAAAGAGCTACCTGAATAAATATTGTTGTTAGCTGTTTTTTATAAATCCATTTTGGCTTAATACCTTGGCTAACCCAATGAAAATGTTTTCACTCCTAATTTTTTTTATGTCTTTACTGCTTCAATACCTCATCACTGTTGAATATTTTAAAAAACATTTTATTATTATTCATTTTAATGACAATTTATAGAGACTTTGGATTTCCATTCATTCATTGTTAAAGATTACTTTTATAAGAAGTTGCTTTCAGACTTTGAAACTTCTTGTGTCCTGGAAACAGATCAAAAACATACTTTCTTTAAACTCAACTTTTAGCTTCCATTTGTTGTTGTTAGGTGCCATCAAGTACAGATAATAGTAACCCTGTGAACAACAGAGCTGAGCCCTGTCCTATCCTGTGCCATCCTCAAGCCCATTGCAGAAGTCACTAATTAATCCATCTGCTTGAGGGTCTTCCTCTCTTTCACTAACCCGCCACCTTACCCAGCTTAATGGCCCTCTACAAAGAATATTCTCTCCCAATTACATGCCCAAAGTTCATGAGTTAAGCTTGGTCATCTTTGCCTTCAAGGAGCACTCTGGCTGTACTTTCTCTAAGACATATCTGTTCTTTTGTTAGTCCATAGGATATTCAGTACTCTTCTCCATCACCACACTCAAAAGCATCAATTCTTCTGTCATCCTTGTTCATTGTCCACCTCTCAGATGCATAGCGGGTATTTGAAAAGTATATGAACTTCAATCAGGTATGTTTTGGTCTTTAGACTAACATCATTGCTTCTCAGGGCTTTGGAGAGATTCCTGACAACAGATTTTCTCGATGCTTTACGTATCTAGATCTGCTAACTGCTGGTACCAAAGGAGTTGCCAATGAATCCAAGTAAGATAAGATTGTTGATAATTGTAATCTTCTCTTCATCTATCATGATGTTGCCCATTGGCCCAATGGTGAGCTTTCTTGATGTTGAGATGTAAAATCCATGTTAAAAGCATCAGTCCTTGGTCCTCTGAAGCTGGTGTTTCAGATCCTCCTCACTTTCAGCAAGCAAAGTTATGTCATTTGCATAATGTTGGTTGTTGATGAATCTTCTTCTAATCCTGATGCCACATTCTTCTTCAAAAAGCCCTGCTTCTCAAATGATTTTCTCAGATACAGATTGAACAGGTATGGAGAAAGAATAGTGCCCTTATGCATACCTTTCTTGCTTGTAAATCATTTAGTGTTCCTTTGCTCTGTTCAGACAGCCTCTTGGTCTAGGTATAGGTTTAGTATAAACATAATATTTTGGAATTTTCAGTCTTCTCAGAATGTTAGCCTTAGTTTGCTATGATCCACTTAGTCAAATGTCTTTTTATAGTCAATAAAACACAAATAGACATTTTTCTAACATTCCCTACTTTCAGCCACTATTTGTCTGATATCAGTATTTATATCCTTGGTTCTATGACATCTTCTAAACCCAGTCTGAACTTCTGACAATTTACTATTAATGTACTATTCTAACCAATTTTGGATGATTTTCAGCAATATTTTGTATGCATATAATATTGTTTAATAATTTCCAAATTCAGTTGGATCTTTGGGAATGGAAACTAATACAGATCTCTTCCACTCGTTGGCCAGCGAGCTGTCTTCCACATTTCCTGGCACAGACTGGTGAGCACGTCTAGGACTGCATCTTTGGGTTGGAACATGTCAGTTGGTATTTCACTGAGTCCTGAGGTCTTATTTTTGCCATTGTCTTCAGTACAGTTTATACTTCTTCCCTTATCACCACTGGACCACTGGCTATTTTTTACAAGGTACTACCTGAAATATTTCAGTGCTGACCAGTTCTTTTGTGTACAGTCATTCTGTGTCTTCCTTCTATCTTCTTTTGATGCTTCGTGAGTCATTCAAGATTTTCCTCATAGCATCTCTCCATAGTATAACATGAGGCTTGAGTTTGTTTTTCAGTTCTTTCAACTTGAGGAATGCCAAGTGGGTTTTTCCTTTTTTTATTCTCCAACTATTTTTTTATAATACTTTCTCTTCTCAGGCTGCCCTATGAAAACTTGTGTTCATCACTTTTACTTCAGCATGACTTCCATTTGGTTCAGCTTCTCGATGCTCTAGGGTGATTTGCAGAGTCAAGTTGACTCGGGGAGGGTGCAGCCAGGGTTGGTCAGAGCACAATATGCACCTGAGAGCAGCAGCCAGGCTGGGCCAGGCTGGCATTTCTGAGAGTGTCTTGGTGAACTTACATGGTTACCAAGTTAGCTTCAGAAATGTGAAAAGGGTCAATAGAGAGGAAGACATGGCCTTTGATTCAGCTCCTTTGACCTTCTGAATGAAATGAAAGAATGAGTGGTACTATTCAAATGATACACAGTCTATGAGCATATTAATTTATTTGGCAGTTCTCGTTAATTTCGTACATTTTTGAAAGTCTTCCCGCACTGCCCCCTGGAATCTTCTGTTCAGTTCCTTAGTGTGTTGATTTCTTCCCTTTGCTTTGGCTTCTCGGCGCTCTAGTGCAGTATTTGGAGTTTCTTCTGACATCCATCTTGGTCTTTTCATCCTCCACTGTCTTTGTAATGACTTTTTGCATTCTTTCTGGATAATATTCTTTATATCCTCCCACAGCTCGTCCAGTCTTCACTCATTAATGTCCAAGGCCTCAATCCTGTTCCTGACATGGTGTTGAAATTCAGGTGGAATAGACTGAAGGTCAAATTTTGGTTCCTGTGGACTTGATTTTATTTTCCTCAGCATCAGCTTGAACTTGCATATGAGTAGTTGGTGGTCTGTTCCACAATCAGCACCTGACCTAGTTTTCACAGCTGATACTGAGCTTCTCCAGCAATTCTTTCCACAGATGTAATCAATCTCATGCCTATGCATACTGTCAGGTGAAATCCATGTGTGTAGCCTGCATTTGTGTTTCTTATAAAATGCATTTGCAAGAAATAAGTCATTGATTGTGCAAAATTATATCATTCTATCTCATGTTTTATTTCTATCACCAAGTCCATGTTTTCCAACTGCTGAACCTTCTTTACTATTCCCAACATTTGCAGTCATCAGAACAGAGCAAGGAAACGCTGATTCAAAATTTGGAAGGTGTGCATCCAGGATGTGTCCTATCTTTTCAATCTTTATATGGAACAGATTATCTGGGAGGCTGGGCTCTGTAAGAAGTGTGGCATCAAGATTCGAGGTAGATTCACCACCAATCTGCATCATGCAGATGGCACAACCCTGCTTGCTGAAGCTGAGGAGGACCTCAGCGTTTGCTAAAGAACGTCAAGGACTGCAGCCTTCAATATAAATTGAAGCTCAACATCAAGAAAACAAAGATTCTCATCACTGGGCCGATTGACAGCATCATGATGAATGATGAAGAGATTGAGATTGTTGACAGCTTCAG